TTTCCTTCTCGCTCTTCCGCTGATTAACTACAAACTAGCATTTGATGCCACGAGCCTCGTGGTGTCCGTCTACACCCATGGAACGAACGTCCTTGTCTAAAGCCGCTATTTAGACGAGTTCTGACAGTCGTTCTCACTTACAACACATCCGGAATGCTACTAAGATCCTTTTGGCTAAACTGACTCATTTTATTCCCGTTTTTCATCGATGCAGGTTGACCACTTTGGAATTGGTTTGCTCAAAAAGGCTGTGTACAACGACTCTTTTAAGATTTGACATATGGGTTTCATCTGGCCATCACCAGCGAAACAACCAACGCCTGTTTCGGTCCTGCTGAAACTCATCATCGATTCGATCTGGACCACATTTGATGAGTTTAGACTGAAGTGTTTCTTAGAGCTCTCGATGATTCATGAACGTATCACAGGTTTCGCTTGTCATTCTGTTCACCGAGCTTGTTAGTTCGATTGCAAACGTTTCATGACCAACCGAAGTGAAACCGTCAGTTTGAGGTTGAGTTGGCCAGTTACTCCTCCTCTTCTTCCTCACTCAACCCCGCACTGATCATGTCACCCAGATCGATCATGAAATGTTTGCAATCCAACTGCCAGGGGGCGAGATGGCCCAAGTGGTTAGAGCGCGAATTTACTGACCGGAAGGTCCGTGGTTCGAACTCGATCTCTGCCTCTCGACTTCCCTTGCCTAGGCTGGGGCAATCTGGCAGTATCCCAGCCCTCGTGCCTCCTTCGTGTGGCATGACAGCTAGGCACCAAAAGGGTGCTACAGCTGAACGTTTCTATTCTAACTGCCAGGCTCGGCGAACAGCCAAGCGGCGTACCAGAGGTGGCTTTTTTCCGCAACATCGCTCTATCATAGGTTTTCCTTATCGGGTAGCACTCAAGTTAGCATACACACATTGGAAATGGCCAAAACCATCTCCTCCAAGTGTTTGTTAGTTGTAGGCTATTTTTAAGAAATAGGTAGTATTGGGCCAACCAATTCTTTTTGCAGTTTCTTATGAAAATATCAGTCGTTCACGCTAGCATTCCTTCATTTCAGGAGAAACGCCCCCGGTATGGATGGGTTGTACTTCCACTTTTTCCCCATTTTGTAAATAAATTCCCTTTTTTCTTGCGCATTATTCATTGATTTGGTTTGGCGTTTCGTAATGGGTCCCCGGCACACGCGGTGCTTCATTGGTAATTTGTTTTTCCTGCTCACAAAGTTTGCAATAGTGGCTTTCTGATGTTGGAGACTGAGCTGTGCGTGTTGGTACTCTCGATTGAGGTATGCAGGAGTTTCGTAGGTTGGGCCCACGTAATATCTTCGAGGTGGCTCAAGTGGTCAGAGCGCGAATTTACTGATCCGAAGGTCCGTGGTTCGAACCCGACCTCTACCTCTCGACTTCCCCTGTCTAGGCTTGGGCAATCTAGCAGTATTCCAGCCCTCATGCTTCCCTCGGGTGGCATGGCAAAATGGTGTTACAGATAAATGATTATCTTATCTTCTCTTATCCAGGATACAAGTGTTCATTGGATGTATTTCAACTAATCAATTACCCACCTGTTCCTAGCCAACGTTCAGCCTAAATAAACCACGCAAAAGCCCTTTGCACATGCAATCGAGTTGCCGAGTATTGAGTCGACCCGGGTCTACCGTACATTGACAGCTTTTCCGGAGCAGCTACGTTCGGCCGGCGCCTTTGGGATACTTTCCCGATTATCTTTTTCTGTTCCGGAAGCGATATTGAGCGCTAATTTTAAGCAATGTTGTCTCTACTTTCCCTGTTTATAAACCACGTATACTGTCTTAGCATACTGCATAGCATGAGGACAATTTCTACAAAAACTGGAATCAGGTTGAAACAACCTATACAGAGGTCGACTTCAGATGAGGTCAGAGGGCGGCGGGCGGGGTCTTCGTGAAGCTAGTTGTGCGGCTGTGCTTATTATGTCGGTGAACCATTCACTCCCTGCCTGTTCTCTTAGCCTCACCAGTTAATTCCATCCAACGTGGATGGAATGTAGACAAAATTTATTCATCAGTCCCTTCTCATAGCCAACCGGTTTCTCACACTTAAAGTAATCCGTTTTGAATGGTTCTTTGCCGCCATGGAATTCGCTTTAATTGCGTTTTTAACTGCATCTTGATTGGTGGATGTGTTAGTCACACAAAATTATTCAACCACAAAAAATCGGAATGTGAAAAGTAAACAGATTTCCGGATCCTAATGTTGCATTTACTCTTCAAGCTTCTCAGGAGATGAGTCGTTTTTCATACACACGTATTAGTCAAGAAGAAGCGTCTAACAGGCTTCAGATACCTTTGACATTACGCTGCCTGGGGTCTCCTGAAAGTCGACCCAATCGATAGACTCACTCGTTGCGGTCACTGGATTCTCGTTCGGGGCGTTGAACTAATCGCCCGTCTTCCACGCGTGAACACATTTCCACCTCTTTTGACGCTAATCTAGGTGTCTGACATGACTCATATTTCAGATGTCCGGATTTCCAAACTAAGGAGTGAAGCTGTAGTTCCCTACTGGTCCTCTGTTGTATGAAACTCCTTTAGTACTGCGCCGGGTCAGATGTAGAACGGCTGCAGCGAGGCATTACTATACCTACTTTTGAGATAACAAGGTTTTCATTGCATGCACCGCTGACTTGAAGTTTGGCTGTATGTTAGCTTTCAGTGGTCCTTGACATAGAGCCGTGTTCATCATGTGGTTATATGCCATTTGGGTGGAAGGAAATCGAGCTGTGTGTGTATAATATATTTATTTCGCCTTTCTCGGAAGCCTATACGCTAGAAAATGTGTACAAGAGGTCATTCACGAATAAGGAAATCAATGTCATTGGCGCGAGATTTGGATAGATGTATTGTTTGGCGACCGGGGGGGGGGGGCATACAAATATCCGATAACTATCCGTAGTTTATGGAGTAAAATGAAACAACTCTCAGAACTGTAATCGTTGTTGAACTCGAAGGAAAATGCATTAAAGGAAGAAGGAGAAAAAATACTAATGTCAGTGGTATCAGTAGGAATAATCGTGAAACCAAGCAAAGTTGTTTTGAGATATGTATGTTTGCATATGTGTGTGTGTACAACGGAGGGTTCTGGCTTGCTCACTGTTCTGCTTGCCAAGTGAACGCTTGTTCCTCAGCAACAAGAAGCTCAGGCGGTGGGGGAGGTTGGGCTCTGTCAACTGCAGGACATGATGGGACCGCGGATTTCGAAAGCTGAGGTGAGCATGTGCACTTTCTGCTCGTTTAGAAACATGTCTCCAATACAACCGGTAAAATTATGTTGATATTCCCACGGAATGCCTGTAATGTTTAGCATGGCACCACCTGAAACATAGAGAGAAACCATTAGACTCCAGAGAATTATCGCAGTATCTGTTGCTACGTTTGCCATTCCAATAAAACCGAATCGATCGGTTCCGATTTTTATCCTGACCTGCAAGGAACTCTTGGAAACCGTAATAGTAAGTACTAATGGGTAACATGGCAGTGAGGGCGAGATGGTTCAGTGGTTAGAAGGCGAATTCACTGACCAGAAGGTCCGTCGTTCGAACCCGACCTATGCATCTCGGCTTCTTCTGTCTAGGTCTTGGCAACTTGACATTATCACAGCCCTCGTGCTTCCTTCGGCTGACGTGGCAGCTAGGCACTGAAAGGGTGCTACAGCTGAACAATTATCTTTTCATTTTTTTTATATTAGCCTTCTTGCTTCCTTCGGAACCAAAGTCAATTCTTACTTTTATTGTCTCATCTGTAATTGAAGTGGTTTATTGACGTTATATTCAGTCCACATACAAGTACACTTCTCTGCTGACAGCACATCCGTAGCCGAAGGTCCTGGCTCGACCTTCTCGATTTTACTGAGATATATTGAGTGTTTATCCAAGAAAGGATGCCGCAGCAACGGCATAGTGTTCTTCGAGTTTTCTGGCAGTTAGGCACCATAATCATCATCATTGTCAGCTGTAAGAACCGCGTACTTGTCCTACAGGGGTTTTAGCTGCCGCAGTTTCGTTCCCCCGATGATTTGGGGAAGTGGAGTAGTTAGCTACGCATTGGAGGCGGTAGCTGATAAATTGGTGCGTAAATACTGTACTGTCAAGTGGGGGGAATTGGGAAGGGAGCTATGCAGTGAAGGCAATAGCTTGGATGCATGAGCACCATTGAGGGGCGCGACTGGACCATGTCTGACAGTGTCTCTAACCATTGATGTGGCCCGTCTCGGGGTCCACCAAAACTTCTGTAATTCATTGAAGTAGATATCATTCCTTATGTGTGGAATACGGGTAAAACCAAGTATTTTTTTAATCGACGATGATAAGAACGCTTGTGTCGAAGAGTTGGGAGAGTTGTTTTAAGAGCACCTTTCAGATTTTCCGAAGATATATGACTTTGCCATAGAGTTACCAATGAACACGGTGCATATATGCCAACCTTTCAACAGTTCTCAAACCGTTCTGCTTGATTACTCGGAAAGTTGACGGATTAATCTCGTGCGCTTCGTGTCCATTGGGTTCAGGATGGAGACACTGATTGTCGTCTGGTGCTCGGACACCCGTTCATGTAGCACCTCAACAGGGGGTGCACGCACTTTTGGGCATTTTAGTGCTTGTTATGGGTTTTACTTATCGGTGCGTCCAAAGAGGCAAACGTTGTTGTGATCGTAAAACGTTTGGATTGCGCAAAATACAACACTAAACGGACCTCAGCAACCAAGAGTGATATTTTCAACAAGGAACTTGAAATCCACATGATTGTCTAGGTTAGCAGCGAGGGCTTTCCTCTCAAAAGTTCGAAAGGAGGTGCTTGTACTGTGAAACAATCGATCCCGAGGAAGAAAAAACTACCGCATTTACTCACCCATCAGTACGTAGTTGTCCCGATGCATGCTCTGAGATGGAATAGAGAATTCACCGGAAGCCATTTGATGATCGACAATGAGTGTTGCTCTTCTGCCGCTCCTGTTGAAGAATTGCAAGGGGTCGAACAGATTCGTCGTTGATTGTACTACAAGACTAAACTGGGTCTAAGAGGGGGCAAACATGTCTCGAATAGTACAAAGTCGAGGTTGCTCTACCTACGTAATGACTCATTCAATTTACTAAATTCCCCTTTGTAACTTGATCTTCTGTTTGTGTGATTGGTTTTATACGTTAAAAGAAATGTTTGGCCCTCACGGACATTAGCTCAAAATAAAACTACAGGTCATAGGAGCTCTTGCTGCAAAATCGATCACCCAGAACCTGAGTTAAAAAGTTTTAGCTCCATATGTGCTCGAATAATGAAGAGATGGACCCCAGTATTATGCTAGTTTTGTTAGTTGTAGCTGTGCGTAGTCTGCAAGTAGCTCGGTAGTCAAGGAGCGAACTTATTGACCTCATGTTCTGTGGTTCGAACCCAAACCCGGCATCTGGCTGCTCGTCTTCATGATTGGGCAACCGTCGTGTTTCCTTCGGTTAGGATGGCAGCTATGCACCGATTGAGTGACACATCTGAACAATCAATATTATTACTTTGGTTAGCTGAGCACCCATTTTGAGACATTCAAGAAGCCGGCCCATGATCCGATGGAAGCGGAATCTGGGGAGAGTAAAGAGTACATCTGAACAATCAACTTTGGTTAGCTGAGCACCCAGTTTGAGACATTCAAGAACCCGGCTCATGATCGAATGGAAGCGGAATCTGGGGAGAGTAAAGAGGATGATTGGCTTCACTGGGACTGTTTGGGTTGAATCCTATTTCCGTCATGTAGCCAATGGAACAGAATTGCGTATCCAAACGGACTAGTCCTGCTTTAGTCCTATGAACTGTTTGGCATGTGTCAAATCTGGGAAGCGTCTTTGAAAAATCCAGGTTTCCAAAAATGAAAATAAGACTGTTGGGATGCGTGGAATATCAGTCCTATCAGCGGATTTTTATGACTGTATTGAATTTATGAGCGGTTCGGTGCTCGAAGTGAATCAATTGACCACTAGGTTAAGAGAGCTTTTAAAACTAAAAGCCAATCACATATGACAGATAGATTCTCAGCGTTAGCACTTCGTTTGTTTGTAAGGCCCACTCCTCGCAACACCGACTGGTGGACGATTATTCCAAAAGAAATCAGAACATAAGGTTGACGGAAACTCGGGGACTGGGGCCTAC